AATATCTTAGACAATCAAATTAAATCAATAAAATAATTTTTTTTTAGCCAATATAGAATAGTAATGTGTAAATAATTTTATTTTTTTCTATTACATTTTTAATGGAACAAAATACTCATATTATGTTTTTACACACACACACATACACATACACACACACACATACATACATACATACACACACACACATACACACATACACACACACACACACATATATACATACATACACACATATATTTTTATATGAAGTATCCTTTGTAATATTAGAAGTCAATATACATTTATTAAAATAAATTATAAAATCAGTATATTACTGTCATCTCAAAATGCCAAAATGAACTGAAGTCATTAAAGTCAATGAAGTATATTATGCAATAAAGCAATGTCAACAATAAGATAAAGCATAAAACTTAAGTTTTAAACTTTTTTTAAACTTTTAAGCTATAAGAAATTGACCAACAGTCGAATATAAAGAGAATAATTACTTATTTGTCAATTTCTTATGGCTTAAAACTTAAAACTTAAATTTTATGTCTTAAAATATCATTGTAAACTCCGCTTGATAAGATTTTGGGTTTGTTTTTTTTTTGTAGCTGAGTGTACACTTTTAGAATTTAAAGTGAGATAAATATATGTTTAATATTTGGCGAAAGCAAGAAAGAGAATTCTAATGCAGTTTAGTGCAAGAATAAAAAACAAATATTATATTTCCAGATCAAATGGTATAGCAAAGAGCATAAACATGCATTGTATAAAATTCACAAAAATGATCAGATTAAAAATATTAATAATTAATAATTATTTGCTCTTTAGTCAAGTATTCTTTCACTTACTGTCATTTGAAATGTATTCGGCTGAAATGTATGGGTTTAGAAAAGAATTTCGTGGATCCAGGCTATCTCTCGGCCACCTGCAGAAATGTTATGTGTGTATATGTTGAGTGATATGTGTCGATATGTATGTGTGCTGTGTATGTATGTGACGTCTGTTCTTTATTTATAGAACTCCAAGATAAATAAACATTATGTTAAACGATTGTAAATCCTCTTATTGGTAGACGCTAACCTATACGTCTCAGATCACAGGCGAGTGTCGCATCAATCACAATGTTGATCAGTGGGTCGTGCTCATAGTACGTCAGTATTATTATTTACCAAATTTAATCCGTTTCTTGTCTCTATAATCGCCACGCCATGAACTATGAAAATTTAAAACTTTGAAATTCGCGTTTCTGGACGTTTCACAAACTCCACTACTCGATCTATTTCCTTCGATATCCTCGATATCATCTCATGTCGTAATGTTTATAGTGTTTATACTGGCCGAATATGGCTGCATTCGGGGAGACGCTATTCAAGGAGACCACTGACTTGAAGATAGCACACAAATTGAATATTTCTAATTTATTTATGTTTATATAATTTGGGAATCGTTTGGGGAAATTTAAGAAAAGTATTTAAACATTTGGGTAATAGCATCGACGAAGTACTATTAGGGGCTCCGCACAATAAAGGGAACAGGGAACAGAGAATAGAGAGTAAGAATTTCAACTTATCAGAAACTGTGTATTCCACAATACATGATTTCTGATAGGTTGAAATTCTTCTCTGTTCCCTGTTCTTTTTATTGTGCGGAGCCCCTTAAAGATGATCGACGCATATGGAAGTCGCGTTAAAATTCAAGATTAAAAAGTAAGAAACTAATAATACGGTAATAATTTCATGATTCATTAGTTTTGTAGAATGCACATGTTTATGTATATTAAAAACTTAATAATACTCGATTTTCATTTAAAACTGTGATTCAATGTTATCATCCGAGTTTGATTATCAATAAAGACAATAACTGCAGAGAAAAAAATTGTAATTTTTCAATATATAGGTAAGATATTATAGCATTGAAAGTATGCATACTTATTTATACAGCATTTATGTAATAAAAAAATCACGAATTTAATGTATTATCGAAGTATTTATATTAATATAATTATAAATTTTTATTAATTGTCGGTAACATCATTGTTCTTTAATTATCCTTGGATCCCCTGGGTCTTATTCGGAAATCCTACCAGAAATATTATTAACCGCCATTCGAAAATTGACTCGGGTCGTGTAAAATTGATGTACCATTTGCGTTCGAAAATATCGAGTAAATATCTACTTGCAAAATTTGCAAACAGGATATCAATCGTGAAACTTTATCTCTAGGATGAAAAGTGAAAAGTAAAAATTTTTATCATTGAAATTAATAGAGAAAATTTTCACTTTCCTTCCCAGGGACAAAATAATTGATATCCAGAGGGTCGATTCTGTTTCTTCAAACAAGGTGAAAATTATAAAAGCGAATAAATTTACTAGGTGTTGGATCAATGAAATTATCAGTATTCTAATAAGTTCGCTCATTTTTGTAATTTTCCTCGTTTCAAGATACAGAATCGATCTCTAGATCTAAGAGAATGATTCTGTGATTGGTGATCCGCTAATTCGCGATACGCGCGATACATTCCATGAGACTACACCCTGATAAAACTCCGAATAAAAGTCCGAAAACTAGGGAAATGCTATAGTATATGTAACGCATACTATAGTATTTCCCTAGTTTCTCATACGCGATACTTTTCGAGAGGTCCAGAGTAAACAATATCGAGAAATTGCCCCTCTATTTTTGCTCTACCAATTAATGGCCGCAGACTCTTACATAATGCATAATGCATAGAAAATCAATTAATCGAAATTCTTAATTTCCATAGAATAGGAGAAAAGGAAAGATTCTGATTAGTTGATTCGCTTATGCACTGTGCGTTATGCGTTATGCAAAAGTTTGTGTGTTCTAAAAGCTGCCGCACAAAATTCTGCAGCAATGACTGTAAAAGTGTATTCACATGTAAGCGTCAAGTAGCGGAAGCAACAACCAATCAGCTGAACAATTTTTATAGTGGCTTAAAAAAATAATTTTATATCATTGCCCCCGTATAGCGGGGAGCACAGACTTTTGTATAACATATAATGCATAATGAACCAATTAAATTTTTTTTATTTTTTTATTTATTTCCTTTCTTTCCATGAAACAAAGAATTGGTTGATTTTCTTATGGTTCATGTTTTAAGCATTATGTAAAAGTTTGTGCTCCCCGCTTATCGCTCAGTTGATTGATTGCTGCTTGAATGAATTTACTTGTGAATGCATTTTAAGATATTTAAGCCAATAAGTCAATCAGGATACTGCTTCAGATTTACGTATTCTAACGGAAATAGAAATAGCAATAAACTTATTCAATAACTTAACCTTGTAATAAAATAACTTTTAATTGGTTGAAACTTGTCTTATGGATAAGTTTACTGCTATTTTTATTAGAAGTTCAAAAGAATTCTCGAATGTGATTGACTCATTCTTATGTCTTACTAGTTACTGTTAAGCTGGTTCTACATTAGTTGCAAGCTGATCGCAAGTTTATTATATTATGTTATATTATTATTGTGACAGCCAATCTGAAGCTTGCATTTTGAAATCAACACTTCATTGGCTGTCGCAATAAACTTGCGATCAGCTTGCTACTAATGTAGAACCGGCTTTATGGAAGGGTGTGCCTTAACCTTAAAGCGTAAACTTGAGCCTATAAGCCAATCAGGATACTATTTTAGATTTACAACCTAACGGAAATACAGGGTGTCTGGAAATAATCGCCAAATATTTCATGGACAGGCTGCTCATGAAATATTTGGCGATTTCCAGACACCCTGTAGAAATAACAATAAACTTATCCATAACCTTGCAATAAGGTGAATTCCAACTGGTTAAAACTTGCCTTATGTTTATAAGTTTTCTGCCATTTCTATTCATTAAGGGCCGATTCTATAATTCTTAACAACAATCATTGATGTTGTTGCGCAGGTTTTATATAGAGTAAAAAAGCTGCGTAATGACATCAACGACTATCATTAAGAGTTACAGAATCGGCTCCTTAGAATACGTAGATCTATGTTTCAAAACTTGCTCTCTGAGGAAAATTTTACTCGAAATATATAGTATACATAACGTATATTATAGCTTATAGAGTAAAATCTTCCACGGAGAGGAAGTTTTGGAACATAGCCCTAAAGCAGTATCCTGATTGGCTCATCGGCTTAAATTTACGTCTTAGGAGCTCTGCACAATAAAAGGATTAAGAGAACAGAGAAAAGAGAATAAGAATTTCAACCTATCAGAAATGTATTGTAGAATACACAATTTCTGATAGGTTGAAATTCTTATTCTCTGTTTTCTGTTCCGTGTTCCTTTTATTATACAGAATCCCTTTAAGTTACTATTATAGAAATTTTCGCGCGCAACATCAATTAGCGAAGCAAAAGTAGAGGGATAGATTCTCGATCATTCTCGATCATTCTCTGTGTCAGAGACCAAATGTGCATCTCTGGTATCTCTGCATTCTCTGCTTCAGAACAGTATTGTCTATATCTATGCTAGTTACTCTGATTGGTATGTACTATATAGAAATCTGTGGTTGCAACAAGAGATAAACTTTTTTATTTTACATGAGAACGGAATTACAGTTACGTAACTTTTTTCATCAATTTTTTCTCAAAACATCAGGTAAGTGAAATATTGTCACATAATTGATAAATCACAATACAGCTTTACAGCATCACAACTTTATTTTTTTAAGCGATAATTCACCTAGCCTTTAAAACACCATGTGGTACGATATGTAGCACTGTTATTTTAATAAAGGATTTCCCTGGTGAAAATTTTTCTCGAATAATTTTTGTACGAATTGGAACATTTTTCAGAAATACTCGGAAAGTTTACATATTCTCTTAGAACTTCTCATACAAGTGAATTCTGAAATATTCTGAAATTTCTCATCCCATAATTTTTAAAAAGTATTTTAAAATTTTTTAGATTTGTAACATTTCATCAGAAATTATACTTAAAAAATCTTAAAAATTTTACGATATTTTATAATTAATATATTGAAAAATTTTGAGAAAAGATATAAATTTTCTGAGAAATTCCAATTTGTATAAAAAATTTGTATAAAAAATGTGAGAAAGTTATAAAATTATAGAGAAATTCTGAAAAATTATATAGAAATTCTAAAAAATTATATGAAAAATTCTGAGAAAAATTTTTACCAAGGTTATTAAGCTATTTTTGCATATATAACGCTTTGTTTGTTATTACGGGCTTTTTTTATGATTTTGATTAAGCTAACACAATAGACTTTTTAAATACGAAAAATACATATATAAATATAAATTTTGTATTGAGTTCTCTGTAGCTTTTAGCAAAACATGTTCGTTAAAAGAAATAAAATTGTTTATTTTATTTGAAAGAAGCTAAATTGCAATTATATAACTTTTTTTTATTGTTAAACTGTACTAATAATTATTCTTTCTTTTTATATGGCAGAAATTTCATAAAAGATTAATTGGAGTTATTTAAAAAGAAGAAAAAGATATAATACATACAATGGAGAATCTGTGTCAAGAACACTTTACTTGTTGGACGTGTAAAGTAAAGTTTGCAGATTTGGCAATATTTAAACATCATTATCGTACTGAATGGCATAGATATAATATGAGTACAATAGTAAATGGATTACCTTCGATCACTCTTGAAGACTTTGAGAAGAAAGAAGCGATGTATCGTGAAAATAATGCAAACCAGATTAAGAACAAACAGATTTGTGAAGTCTGCCGAAAGAAGTTCAACAATCAGAAACAGTACGAGAATCACTTGGCTTCGAAAACTCATAAAAAGAAATCGGAGCAAAAAGAAAATACAACTGTAGCTTATAGTAAAAAGTTGTCAAGCATACAAGATTCATCCAATAAGAATACGGATGACATTGAAACAGATTCAGATGTAGAATCCTTGGATTCAGACGAGTGGTTTGAAGATTTGAAGTATCAAATTATTTATGATAATTGTTTATTCTGCGATTATCATAATAAATCTATAGAGTGCATTATGATACACATGGAGAAGAAACATTCGTTTTTCGTACCTGATCTTGAATACTGCGTGGATCTAGGTGGCCTATTAAAATATTTGGAATATAAGATATGTGTTGAATTTAAGTGTATTTGGTGCAATGATTCAGGTAAATAAATCTTTTTTTTTTGTTAATTATTTTCTCCATTATTTATATTTGATTGAAATAAAAGGATTAAAAATTGGAATTGAACAAAAAGAATCACAATTATAAAAAAATTTAAAATAAAAATTTATATATTTTTACAGGAAGAAAAATGCGAAGCGCACAAGCAGTAAGAATGCATATGATTGACAAGGGCCATTGTAAAATGTTGTTTGAAGGAGAGACGATGTACGAGTATTCATCTTTTTATAATTACTTATTTAGCTATCCAGATGCCGAAAATGCCGATCCAGATGAAGAAGTATCGGATTTAGAGGTTTTAGACGACGAGGGTTATATGATGAAGCTACCATCTGGCAAGTCAATTGTCCACCGTGATTTGGCGCTTTATTATAAACAGAATGTACCTGTGGGAATCACAGCGATGATAAAAGATTCAGATTATTGCCGACGCAAGCGGATACATAAACAAATATCATTTGGGTCTGAAGAAAAAAAACTTGAAGTCGCCCGAATTACAGCACGAGACATTCAAAGCTTCCAGCGAGTCCAAGCCAAGTACTTAATGCAGCTGCAAGTCAAACAAAACAATTTACAGAAACATTTCAGACAACAAACAAACTTTTAACTATATTTAATGACTAAGTATAATTAGATATGCATAATTTTTAGAAAGTTGTAAGTTATAAAAAATAAAGTATGCATTTAATAATATAAAGTTGATTATCCCTGCACCATTACATTTTATTATCACATTATTTATAAGTACAACAAAAAACGCAATTTAAATAACTTAATTACTTATCTAAATGGATTTTATTCTAGTTTTAATCATTTAATTCTAACTTAAAATCAGATTCAAACTTTAGACACGCCATAACTTCACGTCCTTTCAATTGCTAAGAAATCGAAATTTTATTATTTTTAAAGGATACATCACGTAATACAAATTATTATAAATCGCTTTATAATTCGCATTTTACGGATGTTCTTACAAAATAATTCGTGTATACTTTATAAATACTCTTTCGTAACACGTTTCACCGACAAAAATATCTTCTATTTTTTTCTCGAATAATTTTTTTTTAAATTTATGTGGACCCGTTATATCTAGAGCAACATCTCCGTATTACGACCGAAAAGTTGCCGCTTTCGATAGAACATAACAAATATATATATATATATAAGTTAGAAAAAGATCTTATACATCATCGCATTTCGCTGATATAAGAAAGAAGGAGGAGGGAAAAAAAGATATAATTGGACGTTCACCTCATGACTATGTTTCACGGTGACTTCAGCGAATCACGAAATGTAAAGACATTTAATAGTATTTGGTACTTTGATATTTTATGACTTTCTTTTTGTTTTTTTTTTTCTATTAGAAATTGATCAGATCAATATTTTATTGTAATTCATGCTTTCCTTTTAACTTTCAGATATCTTCTCTGAATTACATACATGCATATATAGATATTCCATTCTTTTTTAAAATTAATTATGAAAAATATATATATGTATAGGATCAAAAATATAATATTACTAATAATAGAAATGATAATATTAAAGTGTTAGTTTTCTTAGAAAGTGTTCCAAAATTTTACTTGTTCCAAAATTGTTGTAATATAACGGGATTTTTAGAAAGAAGATTCTTATACATATATATTTTATCATTCAATTTGATTATTGGTATTTATGTTTGTTTTAAATTTTTATGGTTTTTAATGTATATAAGAATTGAATGATATATACGATTTTACATTTTGTATTATATCTTTTTTTGCTATAATAGATTTGACTTTTAGAGTCGTGTTGACTTCCGTGCAGAAATAAAAGATCCGAATATGAGACGTCTATCAAATGTCTAAATGGACGTCTAAGCATTTGATCGACTTTATACCTGATTCGCCCATTCGCTGTGTTAAATTATTCAATTTCATTAAATAATTGTTCTTTGTCTTCTCTTAACAACGAACATTTCTTCTTCAGAACACACAGGGGCAGTAATACCGGATACCATTCGGATACGTTTCGACACATATTACGTGAAACGCATAATACACACTTTTCTCTTTTGTTAGATAAATATTCTATGAGAAGATGTCACGTCATTCATGACATCAAGATATACATTAAGTGCTGTTATTGTCACGACACGACGATGATACATATATCTTTTATCTACTTTACGCTTTACGGTTTCGTGTTGACGATTTAATTTAATTATAAGCTCTCCAAGCAAGCAGACTTTCTCATTTTATCTTCAATCTAATAACTTCACCATTAATTTTAACGCCTGATGGGGCGGCGCCGGTCTGATAGACTTGTCCAATTCCGTGTACGAGATTTCTGCTTCCACCTGGTAGCCGTGCTTCAGATAGACTTTTAATGAGAATGCACTGGTTGCATCGGCCTTACACACCTGTAGTGATATGCTATATCAGATTTGTTTTTCATTCTTCTTTTATTAAATTTTATTTTGAATAAAATTAAAAAATCTCATTGAAGGTTTTTTTGGAAAAGTTCTTAAAATAAGTGAAGTGAAATAAGAAGTCCCTTTGATAGATAAAAATAATTTTAAGAACTGTGTATCTCGTTATCAATTTTATTTGATTTTTATGATAAGCCTTTTTTCCTTGTAATCAGCTTAATAATATAGATAAACAATCTGATGAATAAATCCATTTACTTTTCATTTTTTTAACTTGTAAATATTGAGAGATAAGAAACAGAAATAATAATTAACATTATCGTTAATCGATTTTATAGTAAATATTATCTACATATCAGTTACTTTCCTAGAATTAAATAGTTAAGATACTTCTTGAACTGACATCATTCAATAAATTAATGAATAATTTGACTACTAAATTTTGAAAATTAAAAATAAAAATAATTATTGATAAATTAATACGTATAATATTCATTTATATTGATATATATTATCTACTGTATCATTTATTCATATTATTTATTAATTCATATTAATTTATTTAGCATATTAATCTGATTCTTTATTGTGCAAGAGAATGTACATACGAAAGTGCAAAAAATATCTTTTAAGAAAAATAAGCGCGAGCGATAGATTGTAATTATACCTTGTGAAGAAGTAAACAAAAATTATCCCATGTATATTAAGAAGAAAAGCATGCTGAAACAAAAGGAAAGTGTGTGCTGTGTATGCAAATCAGTGATCACGCCAACGCAATAATCTTAAATTAATGAAATAAAAAAAATGCGGAACCTCTTTATAACATGTAAAATCGATAAAATAACTTTATAAATAAATAAATAAATAAAT